ATAAAGAAATATACTTACTTAGACTATATATTAGTTATTATTCTCTAGTAGTAAGATGCATCTTATAACTATATATTAGCTTATAGTAATTATTCTTTAGGTAAGGATTCCTTTAGGGGATATATCTCTACTTCTAGTTATAATAGATTTATATTTTTTTAGAGATCCTATACTAACTATACTTAAAGTAACTAGGGATTAATATATTTATTCTATATATAGGATTTTTATATATAGGATTCTAATACTCTTAATAAGTATATATTCTCCTTAATAAATATTTCTTATTTATAGTTACTAATTTTTTTTACTTTTATAAACTTATTATTTAAGCTAGTAGTCTTAGTTTCCTTACTAGTTATAGTAATAAGTTATATAATTAGCCTACTAAGCTAATAATAGTAACTAGTAATTATAGTAAGGAGTTAGATAATAGTACTAATAAAGATTCTCTAAATAATAATAAGTATATATAGTCTAGTATAGAAGATAATATTAATTCTCTTATTATAGAGATAAATCCTTCTAGTATTTTTTATAGTAAAGGCTCTTCTTCTATAATAGAGATAGATTCTTTTAGTATTTCCTATAATAAAGACTCTTCTTCTATAGTAAAGGAGGCTCTAGCTAAGAAGTATTATCTTTTTTTAAAATATTTTATAGTAGTAGTAATTAGTTTAGCTAAGAAATATTATTTTACTATAGTAACTTTCTTTTATTCTTAGATTAGTTCTTCTTTAGTAACTCTCTCTCTTACTTAAGATAGTTTAGTTAGGTTAACTCCTTTTTTTTCTTAGATTAGTTCTACTATAGTAACTCCTTCTTATACTTTAGTAAGTATCTTATTAATAGCTCTAATAAGAAGTCTTATTAGATATTATTTTTCTTTATTATTACTTAGTTATAAAAATCTCTTTAATAAAGTTTATATTCCCTAGCTAGTAAGTTATATTAACTAGGATAATTATTATAATCTTTTTATAGTTCTTTAGGATCTTTAGGTATTTATTTATTATATTAAGGCTTACCTAGAGGAATTAGCACCTTCTCCTAATAATAATAATAATTTATTCTAGTTAGCTAAGGCCTTATCTTATAGGATTCTTAATATAAAGTTTAACTTAGACTTTTAATTAGTAATTATTTATTACTTTAGTTAATTAGTATAATTCTTAATATCTTATTATAATTAGTTTTTTTTTATAATTAATAAAATCTACTAGTCTATAATTCCTTTTCTTCTTCTTAGAAAAGTAATTCTAGTATAGTATTATTTTCTAATCTATCTATATAAATATATTATCTTTATACTACTCTATTTACTTCTAATAAGAAGATATTATAACTATAAATAGTCCTTTAAAATCTATCTCTCTAGTATTCTTTTAAGATATTAATTCTAAATTATTACTTTAAATTCCCTTCTAGTCCTTATTATCTAAAATAGTTAAGTCTTTACTATTCTATAGCTCTAGTAACTTTATTTATTATTATATAAGGTGGCCATTCCTTACTAATTTTTATTTTTTAGTATATTAAGTTTTTTACTTATTTATTTTATATTATATCTCTAATCCCTCCCCTACTTATTATAAACTTTCTCCTAAATATTTTTACCTATTATATCCTTCTGCCATGCACTATAATAGTTCTTTATATAATAATATTAAGAGATTAGTCTTATTAAGCACCTTTTATATTTTAATTAGATTAGAGATTAATAGGCCTACTTTTTATAGCCTAGTATTAAGGCTTATTAATATCTATAGGTATTATAGATTATTTCTTATCTCTACTTTTATTAGTCTCTACCTATTAATAAGATTATTTAGAGTATATTCACCTAGTTCCTATAATATATATATTCTAAGGGGGTGGGCCTTAATCACCTTATATAGTTTAAATTACTTACTCTTAAACTTCTAAGGGCTTTTATTTTATATAAGGACCTACTAGCCCTTCTTAAGATAATTCTTTTTTATTTATAAATCTTAGATTATCCCTCTCTTAATTATATATTCTAATAGCTTCTTATTTACTAGTACTTATATATATATTACTCTTATAAGCCTATTATAATTATTTTTCTCTATAGGTTCTCTTATATCTCCTAGTAATCTTAGTTTAATCCTATATAGTAGGTAGAAGGGGCTTTTACTAGTATTTATATAGGTATATATCTATACTATGAATATAGCTAGATAAAGATATTTATCCTATAGCTATATTAGTTTCCTTATTAAATATTTTATAAGTATTTATCCTAGGAGTTCATTAAGGTTTTTATTCTTTCTATTTATATAGGGATAATTTAGTATTATTATATTATATTTTATTTTTAAGATTTTTATAAAGATCTCCACTATGCATGATAGAAGATTTATACTATTATTAAATACTATCTTATTAAAGGTGCTATACTAAGTAAATATCTCTTTATATAGGAACTTTACTATTATTTTATCTATAGTATATAAAATAGCTTTTATAATAACCTATCCTATTATATAGTTAATAGTGGTAATAATCTATTTATTATTATTTAGTATTAATAGTAGGTATCTGATAAGGTTAATACCCTAGTATTTAAAAGGCTAGATATCTTTCTTTACTATATAATATTACTATTCCTATTTAAGATGT